AAGAAATGCCAAAAGCTTACCCGGGAAGGATGTCTGTCCACACAGATCCTTATGCTGTATTACCTTAACCAATCAATGAAGAAACTATTCAAGTCCACTAACCACTAATAATAGAATTGTAGTTCCTCATCTATTTATGCAATATCTATTATTTATGCAATAACCATAAAGTTGTGAAAAATAGAAAACCAATTAGAAGACTCAAATACAAAAAAATGAACAATGTTTGTATTCCATTACTTAAGTATTTTAATTTTGATATTCTATTAAAACATGGAATACTAAGACAATAAAATTTATGAGATTTCACTCAACTTGCTGCTCTTATAGTAAAATGATGGATGTTTTTAAAAGTTCTATCCTTTTACAAAGATCCAGAAACTTCTCAGGCCACATTTAAACTGTCTAGATTTGAAGTTTATACACATTGCATTTAAAGAAGAAGGGAAGGTCTGCCAAAGTAGCAACTTCCTCATTAAACTCTCAAGCTTGCTACGAAGAAAGATATTACTCGCACGTTCACTGTAATGTACAGATAACACACACACATTTTCTCTCTCATACGTCTCTCAACTTGATATATATATATATATATATATATATATATATATACACACACACACACACACACACACACATATACATACACATGTACATGCACATAGGAAAACTAAGGCAAGAATGACCATATTAGATATCCTTCTCAAACATACTCACTGAATTGCAGGAGTCTAGTAGAAATTTATAATTATTGTATTTCTGTTTCAGAGACAAATAAGAATTTATCAGGTTTCTTGTTGTGTCTCTTTGTGTGTGTGAACTTCCAACTAGAACTAGATGTAAGCACTGTGTCTGACTCCTATATTTTCAGTTCCTGGGATTTGGGGTTTTAGGTAGGTGCTAGTAGAACATGAATTGCCCCAAAGTACTACCTCTACCACACAACATCTGAGTTTATATCCTAACCCAACAGTGACTAGCTGAGAAATCAAATATTTAAATGCCCTTAGCTTCTATTTCTTCATCAGTAAACCGTGTCAGGATATCAACTAAACATGGTGACTATAAGGCACCTCATATGTAGAAATACCCTGAGAGTGTTAATAAGTGCTTGCTCATGAATTGATAAACTTGCCTTAGGAAAGGTYTGGACTTACTGCCAGCCATTACTTTCACAGACTTGCCTGTTTTACAGCTATATAGACAGGTGTTTGAGAATATAAGAAATTAAAACAGAAATAGGAAAGCTTTTTAGTCCATTTTGCTAATTAATATGTCAGAGCCCATAAAGAAGAACTCAGTGGCTTCCTTCAGTACTACATCCTCTTAAAAAGCTGGGTCAGCAAAGATCTCTGCAGACAGTCAATACATATTAAAACAGTTCCAAGCAGTAAATCAAAACAACTAAAAAAGAAGATGACACAGAAAAAAAAAGTAAAATTTATAACTCCTTTCTGACTGACTCTAGAAGAGTACTGAACTATTAGTTTAGTTGCCAGTTCAGTATACAGAAAGCAAAAATATGCCTGAACTCCCTCTCAGGCATATTTTGTTTCTGAATATTACCAAAATCAAAGTATAATTTAAAAAAATCAAATGCCAAATTTGATGTCATTTTCTGTGTCTTCTAATGTTCCCCTAGAATATTTAGCTCATTTTAAAAAGTGGCTTTGTTGTTTAAAAAATATTTTTCTCTGTTTTTTGCCACCCCCCACCCCCTGCATTTCTAAGATTTGTTTAATTAGTTAGACAGGGAAAGAGGGTAAAGACATTTTTGGTTTCCCAAAAGAAGACTAGAAATACAATAAGGCTTACTGAAACTTGTGATTTTCTTAAAGAAACTGAACAAAACGCATTTTAATTCTAATTTCCCTGTGTTGGGTCCACGGTTCCCTAGATATACATATCCCCCTTCTGGGGCGGAGGAYCCTAAAAGATTATGAGCAGGAGAATTACCGTGCTGTCTTCCTTGTGCTGTGTAATGAGATGGGATGCACTGTTAGGGGAGGTCCAATAGCAGGATCTTAGAGGAATCTCAAAAATCCTGGGTGGATTGCAGAAGGGGTGAGAGGAACACTACATTCTGGGCCAAAAATGTTAGAAAGATTTATCCTACCTGGGCCTCTGATTTAATCAGAGTTCCAAGGAATAAACTACTTAAAGATTAAGCCAAGGAAAAAGGAAAAGGTGCCAAAAACCTTGTCACAAATTTGGGAGGTGCCCAAACCAGACAAACAGATGGAACTTGGCACAAAATGGCCCTCTACACACTAAGTAGCTGACTCAGAAGAAATTTCAACTCACATGAATTTATTAAAATGTTGAATATCATCCTGAATAAGAAGATGGATGATAGATTTAGGTCAGCACATACAATTTAATTTGTTTAACTTTCTGATAGTCTTAGATTRTATTGAAGCTGCCCACATTTCTAACATTAAAGAGAGAGAGAGAGCACTGTTTTATTCTTAGGAAAAAAATAGAATTTTACTTAAAGATTTGGGGAAGAAGAAAGAAAATTGCAACAAAAAGTTCAGTGATCCCTTTGAACACTGGTGAGTTAAGTAGAATCATAGAACTTTGCAAGGTAAAATACAACCTGGTAACTTGTTTAGTGATCACAGACCACCTTAGAAGATAGACAGTTTAGTTATATGTTAGGTGACTTTTAAACATTATTTTGTAACTGAAAGAGGTTGTTGGAATTAAAAGGACCCTTAATCCTTTGCTCTGTGCCCCCTCACCAAAGCCAGATGAAAAATTTCCCTGCATAAATGCAGTGTAGCGTACATAAGGGATCTGCATTTTATATGAGGCATAAGTTCTTGAGGATCATTATAATTTAAGACTAATTTTCCAAAATAAAGAAATATAAAAAACTGGGGGAGAGTATATTCTTGGAGCATAGAAATTTATAATTTTAGTCTTACATTTTTCTATAATGATATTCTATATTTTCTCAAAAGTGTCTGATGTTTTACAGAATGCTCTCCTTTAATGTCATACTAGACTATAGAATTTTAGGTCATTGTTAGCTCTCCTCATTACATGCCATTTTAGATCCAAGTTATCAAGTTTCTGACTGTTCTTTAGTATTTTCACTAGTTTCACAGGTACCCAGTGACAAACTCAATTATGTATTGATAGGATATAAAAGTCCATAAAAATAGGGAATGTTGGAATAGCAGWACATTAGTAAAGAAATCTCTAATAAAACATCTACTGTATTTAAATAGCATGGTTCATCAAATATAAAGAGGATTGGTTCTATTTCTATCWCTCAGTGAAAGTGAAGGTGCTATGTGGCTAGTTTACAATAAATTAACTGGTAGCTTTAAATTTTTGCCACTTTTGAATTTTTTATTTTAATTTGGAAGGTTATTATTTCAAGTTTGCACTTAGAATAGTTCTTTATTAATACTCTATATCATACTATATAAAAGACATATCATTTAAATTTACCTAAAACATTACAGCAATATGCTAAGACAACAATGATCTCAGAAATAGTGACAATAACTTTTAATTACTGGCTAACAGTAACTTGTTTGGAAATCAATTAAGATTAGAATGTGTTTCAATTTCCTGGAATTAGACAGAAAGATGATTATTTGCTCGTTTTCACAAATCAAGCTGATAAAATATTCTTAAAAACAGCTTCAAGTTTTTTCATTGAATCCTATGCCAGTACACAAAAAGATTTTAGTGTTCAAGTATTAACAAGTGTAAGACAACTATTAATATATGTAGGACTGTGTATTTCAAATGAAAAGAATGTAGGCTATCCTTGGGGTTCCTTGGCCATGAGAATTTTCTTCCCAGTTTCCTAAAAATATTTAATGGAAGTATTTAATGGTAGTATTTAATGGAAGAAGATGATATAAACATGCGGCATGTGTCAGTTTAACACTCCATGGAAATCTGTTCTTTTACAGTGATCTAACCTTTTAGATTCTTTATTAGGAAAAAATGGGAGAAAAAAAAAAAGGAAAACAAAAGAGTTGTGAACTAGTTCTTCCCTGCTGTTGTTACTAAAGAATCTGGAAAAGAAAGAGAAAAAAAAAAAATCATAATCTTGCCCTGGAACGTGATGGAGGTAATGAGGCGTCCAGGCGACTTGCTGCTGAAAACGTAATTGGCACATAAACACAGAGACACTCAGTGATGGGGAAGACTTCTTTGTTTCAGAAACGGAGGGATGCCAACATATTATAACTCTTCTGTGTTTGGAATGGCAATTCTAAGAGTCAAATGGATGTCCCCCCCCCCCGCCCCAAATCATGCACCCTTAGAAGAAAGGAATTACTGACGTATTTGCTAGCTTAGCAGCTCTTAAGTTTTGCAGCTAAGTGAATAACTGATGCCAAAGGGAGAGCACAGGAAGAGAAGGCAGGCTTCTTGGCAATGAAGGGCTACGTAGACATAAAGATGCCACACACATGATAGAGAAAGACCAAGACCCTAGGAGACCCAAGTGGACTTCCCAGATAACATAAAGGGGGCTCATTTGTGRGAGATAAAAGGATAACAATCATCCCTAGCACAGTCCCTTTTGATGACAAGCAACTGCATATTTTTAAATTTAATTTAATTTTTTTGAGGAGAAAGAAATGAGAACAWCTTTTTTTTTACTCTGGAACTCTCTTCTGCCGTTTTAATATGGAAGTCAGTGTGGGAAAGAATTTTTGAACTTTCTTTGGTTTTCTTTACAATGTTTGTTTTAAGTGCTCAGCTAGTATACAGTTTCAGATTTGGAGTTTTAGAATCATTTTTTTGGAAACCTTTCTTCTTTCCTTTCAAACATTTTGAGTCAGCATGCATTATGCCACTATGCACACAGCCAAGCAATAATTCATCTTTGTGGAAGTCAGAGACATCTCATGTATTAATTAGAAAGTCTTTCAGTGACTGGTGGGTAGAAACAGGTTCCAACTGCTACTAAAACACAGCCAGGGATTTCCAGGAAGGGAACAGAAAGGCAGATACGAGGAATTTCTTACCGGATCGGTGTCCAGCCAATGAATGAACTTTGCTTTCATCTGGCACTGAGGAGAAAAAAGTAAAAGAGACAAGGATTAGACCTGCTTGTAAATCAGGCATTTTACAAACAATAAATTAATAGAAAATCATAATAAGTTAAATCTTTTACTGGCAAAGATTTCAGAAAATTTCCCTTCCAGCCTACCCTGGGGTACATCATTTTTATTGACAGACATTTGAAAAACAGCTATGAAGAAATATGTTTATTAGATATTCTATGAATATGACATCATTCTTAAAGACTTCCAATACTTTCAGTTCTTTTAGCTTGGTTGTTGCTTCCATGACCATAAGAGGAGAAAAACTAAATTCAAACAAAGCTCTCTGAGCATAAAAGCAATGTATGTATTATCTAATACTCCAGGGTTGGACCTGTGTATCTGGTCAAAATGGAGGAAAAGAGAAAAGATTTATAATCCCCTAGAAATAGTTAAAAACTAGACAAAACATGAAATCATGGCATTCRTCTGATGAGATGTCAGGCAACAAAGGACAGCAACTCCTAAGAGATGGAAAACAAATGGGGTGAACCCTACAAGTGCGCCAGCTTGCTTCTAGAGAAGGTTTCCAGATGGTGGTGCAGGGAGGGGGACACTGAGGCAGAATCCAGTGACTTGAGGACATGGTGCAGGATGTCCAGGGAAGCCAGTGCAGATTGAATGTCCAGGACAGAGAAGCAGAGAGAAGAGAATCACACAGATTTCTCTCTAAATCTTCAGAGAACTCCTTCCTGGATTTAGTTGAATACTGATGATCACTTGTACATGAGACAAGAACCCCAAGAGCTCAAAGAATCTGTCCCAAATGGAAAGGAAGCAGCTTCTATAGTCCATGTAGAACAGGGAACAGTGCCTATTTCCAATGGCTAGAATGGAAACTTCATAATTCAGGGGTGTCAGAATATGAAGATGGGTTTTGCCTAAATAGGAAGAAAATTAATCCCCAATTAACATAGCTCAGATGAAATGGATAAACTGTTGAAAGGTCTAGATTACCAAAGCTTATAAAGGAAGAAATAAATGTATGCATAGCCTGATAACTAATTTTAAAAATGAGTTTGTATGTAAAACTTTTCCAAAAAACAAACAACCACAAACCATCTAGACTGAAATGGCTTCACTGTTGAATTCTTTGAACATTTAAGGAAGAAACAATACGGACTCTACAGAAATCCTACTAAAAAGTTTAAAGGAGGGAACATTTCCAACCTATCCCATAGAGCTAGTATTAAACGTACTAATATCAGAAAAAGACATCATATAAAAACCACTAGATAATATTCCTCATAAACATAGAGGCAAAGTCCTTAATCATTTAGCAACTTTGCATGGATTACCACTTCAATGTTTGACAACAGCTGTTTATTTGTTCACCATGCACCACTATAGTGCTAGTCTATAAAATTCTTGTGTGCAAAGGTGGATAAAAAAGTGAGGGGAAATTTGCTAACAAGGAGAACAGCTTCCATTTTTCCTAACTAGACTGGTCTCAGAGTAACATGTGTCCCTTTCTTCTATCCACCATATTATTTATAATATTTAATTAACCCAGTCGCCATATGTTATGGTTTAGATATTAAGTGTCCCCCAAATGCTCATGTGTCTGTCAATGCAAGTGGGTTTAGAGAAGGAATGATTGAGTTATGAGAGCCTTAACCAAAATTAGTAAATTAATCCCCTGATGGGATTGAGTGGTAACAGAAGGTGGGTAGGGTGTGGCTAGAGGGGGTAGGTCTTTGGGGATATGCTTTTGGGATATATACAGTATCTGGCAAGTGGAATCTTTCTCTCTACTTCCTCTCATCATGTGAGCCAATTTCCTTCTACCACACACTTCCATCATGATGTATGGCCTTACCTTCAGCCCTGAGGAATAGAGCCAACTGTCTATGGACTGAGGCCTCTAAAAACCATGAGCCCTCCAAAARACTTTTTGTCCTCTACAATTGTTCTGGTCAGGCATTTTGTCACAGTAGCAAAAAAGCTGATTAAAACACCATATATAATCTTCCCCCTTCCCCCATCCCTCCTTTACTTCTTTAATTTCTAGAAAAATCATGTATCTATGATTATCCAGTTCTTAACTGCTTAAACTCATGTCTGACTTCTTGTTTTATTTCCATTTGGGAAGTAGGTCAGAGGTATTTTTGAGGTGCTGATGGTGAGCCAAATTCTTCCCTCCCCATGCTTAAAAACCCAGTGGAACCCATATTATAAGGAGAAAAATATTGGAAATCAATGATAATAAAGATTAAAAATAACAATAGCAACTACATTTGTTGAACACTTATAGATTCTGTCCTATTTACTTTATATCTACTAATTAATTTAACTCTCACAATGACTGGAAAGATAAGTATTTTTATCCRTATATTACAGATAAAGAAACTGACACACACCTCATGAGTGGAGGAGACAGAGATTAAATGGTACTGTTAACTACACCATTATACATTGATACCAATCAGACAAAGGTTTCTCTCTAAGAAATTTTAACAATGATCAGCAGCATGAATTAAACGTAAGGAAACAAACACCTATCTGCTAGAAAACTCTCAGCTTTTTTATTTGAATACATGCTATTAATAGAAATCTTTTTGTAATGATGAATATCAACAAGTGTTAACAATCATTTTATCAAAGTAAAAATATAAATTGTTTATTCCCATTTCATAGATGAGGAATCATATTTTTAAGTTAAGATATTGGCATAGAAACTCACTAGTTTTGGGCAGTTAATGTAAAAGTCTTAATGGTATTTTTCACAAGTGTTTTAAAATTATTTTAATTCTCTGTGCTTCAGTCTCATTGTACATAACATGAGGAAAATGTTGCTTAGTCCATAGGTTTGTGGTGAAGATGAAATGTTTAAGTATATGTGAGGCATTTAGAAAGATCACACTATAGCACTTAATAACTATTAGCCACTATCATCACTAATGAGAAACTAGATTGAAAGGCAGAACAACGTGGTAGATGATCATGAGATGCATATGGGTTGAGTGTCAGCACTGCCAGGCAAGGTACTCAGCTCTTTTAACCTMAGTTTGCCCATGTGAGGAATGAGGATACAAACAATATATAGTAGTTGTGGGAACCAAATAAAAACAACTGTGCAAAAGTGCTCAGCATAGAGAGCCAGGTGTGCAATTCTCCACACATGAAAACATTTGCTAATGGAAGCCATGTGAGGGGTAAGGGAATAAATCTGATGATGGCGGTGGTGTTCAAGATTTCACCTGCTCAGGATCATAAAGAAATAGAGAGTGAATAATTGAGAACATACTGTTTCAGTCAATTTTTGTATTGCTGAGCCAAAAGACCTCTCAAAACCACTTAGAGGAGGGGAGACTTATTTGGGGCTCAAAGTTTCAGAGGTTCCTCAGTCTGCTGACTCCATTGCTCTGGGCCTAAGATGAAACAGCATATCATGGGCAGAGCCCCAGCAGAGAAAAACTGTTCACCTTATGCTAGGTTCAGGAAGCAGAGAGGTGTGGGGGAGGGCTGCAGGGAAGAGGCACCCTTCCAGGGCAGGCCCCGAGTGACCCACCTCCTCTCGCCATGCTCCTGCCTGCAGTTACCACCCAGGCCATTTGAACTAGGATGGGCTGATTAGGTTACAGCTTTCATAATCCAATTATTTAAGCACAACATTCCTGCATTAACAAAGTTTGGGGGCGGACAACTCACTTCCAAACCATAACATTATGCATTAGGTAAATTTAGGTGTTATCTCGTGAATAACGGAACACCCACAGCAGGTACTACCTCCAAGTTTACCTGGCCAATTCATCTTATGGTGGCAGAAAGGCAAAGAAAAACGCTGTAGAGCCCATGGTCTTATTACATATAGTTAATCTGAAAAAAAGGGGTTTGTATAAAATTAATGCTTTTGATATTGTTTTTGTCTTTTTTTCCTTTTAATCTTAGCTGCTGTAAGTACTGAAAATCCCCAGCAACACTAGATGTTACAAGGAACTTCTTAACTTTTGGGCTGAATAATGTCTATTATTCCTAGTAGGAATGCTTATCATTATTTTAATTGACAATGTGAAGTTCTTTAGATCACTAAAATAAACTATTTTTAAAAACAGTGTGGAAAATCCAAATGGGTGATAGGCATAAAAATTGAGGGTCTTTCTCCAAAATATTCACTGACACAGATGTCTATCTTTAGGACAGAAGATAAGTGAATAAACATAATAGAAATGAGAGGGAACTGTAATGACTTAATTAACAGAATACATTTTATTTAAAAGGTTAAATTTAGAACAATCATCTTTTATACACATGCTTAGTTCTGGGAAGCAATTTAAATAACAGTAGCAAATGAGAAAATGAGGTAAAATTACACACACCACCAAGTTGTTTTTTTTTTTTAAGTGGCAAGTGTTATAATTAATACCCAACTTCCTTTATAACCCATATCACCTTAGAGCTACTATTAAAGTTCTCTCTCGGGGTTGGCACTTAAGGGTAGTAGTTGCACTGTGCAGAGAGCTCAGTGACTGGAGTGGCAGTGGGTCATTTTAAATAAAGGACATCTTTAAAAGAAATTGAAAAATGAGTGGGCCTGGTGGGGGAAAGGGCTTCCATTCCCAAAGAGGAAAGYACCCTAAGCATCAAGTAATGGGTTGTTGATGGAGAAGGAGCTTGAAATTTAATTCTGATTCTGATGACAAAATTTTCTCCTTCCCTCCCTTTCATCCTTCTTTATCATATTCATTCTCCCTCACTCCCCCCCTTGTTACTACAACTTATTACATTTCCCTTGAGTCCATCAGTCTTACCCCAAAACCAGTACTACTTGCTCTTGATTACCTTAAAGGAATATTACTGTGAAATGCTGAGTTTTCTGAAGATACAATTCATAAGCATTTTTATTAGGATTGTTTTCATTATAACATTATTAAACACTTACAGGGCACCATGAAATCACCCCTTTTGAGGTGTCTTTGTATTTATTTAGATGATGGGATTTATTTTAAAAAATACCTTTATTTTTA